ATAGGTGAGACGGCTAAAAAAGGAAGTCCGATGTCTACATTACATGATAGACACTGTTGCGGGATACTGAGCTGGACACATTAGAGATCGAGCCTTATGAGGTCAGTTGTTTTTCCGTCATCTTGACGAGGAATCAACCACAAGTAATAAGAAAGAAAGTACATGTAAGCATTGAAAGAAATACAATCCTGTGTGTACGGTATATTTTTTTATATCAAAAACTCCCAAATAAGAAGAGGAAATGAGAAAGTCTCTTTTTCCTCCCATCATCCCTTCATTACATTACTCTACCAGTCTTGCACTAATTGGCAGTGAAAACCTGTTAAAGAGATTAAATTTTCTCTTCCATGTAAAATGAATGCTCTCTACACGTTGACACAACTCGAGTGAAAGGGTCGTAACAATCTTTGTACACTACGAGTAGTCCCTCATTTTCCCTCAGGGATAGTAGAGCGAGCGAAAAGCGAGCGCACGTGAAAATCACCTAACCGGAGAAAGGCGAGATGCGGCGGACAGAGAGAAATATGACGGACTACAGACAAAGCCCTTCTCTCTCCCGCAGCGTCTCGCCTGGGGTGATTTTCACCCGCGCTCGCGCTTCGCTCGCTCTACTATCCTTGAGGGAAAATGAGGGACCACTCGTAGTCTACAAATTTTGTAACAGTACCATGACGGGCAGTTTCTGTGGTGATAATACGGGAGGGATACTCCGGTAATTCAAGTGGAAGTGTGCAGCATGCTATCTGCAACACGTAACCCATTTCAGACCAAAATATTTGATTTTCCATGCCCTGAACATAATGATGAAATAATAACAAAAAATTAAAATAGGAACATAGGCAATTTCCCTGGGTAGGAGGGAGGAAGCACTCCATTGTTTGACCTAGAAGCCGTGCCATTGCACAAGGTGTGGTTCTCAGGTTTATTCCAGACCCTGGACATAAGAGAGTATCCCCCCACCCCCCGGGTGTGAACGTAGGGCTAACTGGCACGATTTGCCAAGTATTGTAAATAAAGATCACTTTAACAAGCCCCTTTTGTAACTTATTTACAATGTACTTACAGTAACATCAGCAGAGGATCAAATATGTGACAAAAACATATTTTATTTAGTTATTTACACACGTCCTGGCTTTCCGTAACTACTACTTCTTTTACTTCCTCTTCTTCTCTGAAGGCGTGGTGGATTTGTCTTCACCCTTCCGTTTTTCTGCATTCTTGTTAGCTTTGGGCAAAGGATATTAGTAACAGTCAGTACAAGTAGACCCGTATGCTGACCCATTTTTAAGGCTCGATTTCAGTTTTTTTCTCGAACAGCGACTGACAGGCGAGCCATAATTGTAACACGCACATGCCTTACCTGCCCCGCTTTCAGAGGTACTAGTTACCCAGAGCCTCCTATAGACCTGGGCCCAGTTGTTCGAAGGCCGATTAGCGCTAACCCAGGGTTAAATTTTAACCCGGGTTTCTTTTTCTTTTGTTCAAAAGTATTTTCCCGTGTAATTTCCCCTCTTCTTTTTAGAGCATCCAATCATCAAATTGTTGGCAGAAAGAATAAAACTAAATTTGCTTCTCAAGCTTTCATATCTGAAATCAAATTTCGCACTAACCCTGGGTTAACTTAACCCTTCTTTGAACAACCCGGCCCTGGTGGACAACCATTTATCTGAAAATAGGTTGAATTTGCGTGTGAATGAAGAGTTATTTCATATACAGTAACAGGATGAACACCAGGACTGGATTCGAAAGCAAGTGTTGACGTACAATGTTAATTCATAAATGCCTTACCACGATTAATTCCTAGTTTTACGACTTTCTTGCAATGTTAGTACAACAAGGCTATTTGTAAGCAAAGGGGTATCGAGGTGGCCTCTCCCACTAGCGGGAGAGGTCTCGCTAAAAACAAGCTAAACACTTCTTGTATTTCAGTAAAGCAAATTATTGATAATGATGATGATGAGGTTCCTCCTCCTCCTTTTCATGATGAGGAGGGGAGGAGGAGGTGGGGGAGGAGGGGGA